TGATCCCAAATCACTAAAAAAAATAAATCGAAAATAAACTGAATTCCTATTTTTTATTTAATTGCGGTAACCATGCTTGATCCACAGGTCATTGACTTGCACTACACGTGGCACAGGTACGAGCAACCATTTGAACAATGACCTATGCGCAGAATATATGCATTTTAGATCTATTTGGTGGTAGGGTATGGGTAGGGACGGGGGCGATTATCGTACCGAGCGCGTGATTGGTAGATCATCAATCGCCCTTGCGGATTACGTCTACGTTCCGCCGCTGACATCGCGCATACATTCTAGTTTCTCTCGAAATGCAACGTAGTTTGGTATGTAAACAAGAGTCAGTGCAAAAAAAACCCGTTGCCATGTTCACCAGACCCTGCATTACCATCAAGTGCGTTTTTATGGCATGATGTGAAACGTTTAGTTTACGCAGATTACGAGTGTCAAAGAATTCCGCGGAAAAATCGTCTCTGGTTTCTTTCTGCTTTTTCTGTTGTGAAGAATGTGCTAAGTTGAAACGAAACTCTGTATATCTGTAGCTGGCTCCGGTACGGAGCCTGCCACCAGCTGTGGAGCTAGGTACTTCTAGCACTACTTTCATGTAACCTAAAGTTGGTAAGTACCAAATCTAAGTTACAAAAACTTTTTTCAGTCAACTTTTGTAACTACTGTAAATAATGAGTAAATTATAACAATACTAGTACATAAACATATTTTAAAAAATAGGCAAATAAGCAATCGAGAAAGAAAGTACGTAACGTTCGGTGAAGCGAGTGGCGGGGTCACTGTCCTCCGCGGTGAATACACTCGGGTAAAATTTTACAAAACTTTACTAGATACATTTAGGCAGAATATTGAAGATAATATTTTTTTTAATATTGATTTAATGATTTAGCATTATTTCTATAATTAATTTCTTAAATATGGCGAGAATGCAAATCAACACACTGCATAAGAAGTATTCTATTCTTATATTAGGAATTTTAGTAGCAGTACGCACACATTTTTTTTAAAATATAAGTTAATTTTGGGGTTTTTGTGACATACATGCACCAAACACACTGTTAGACCATGCGACCAGAAAGAACCCGAAACATTGGTTTCGGGCTACTACACATTTATGTCAGTTAAAGCTATTTCTTATCGGCTCGAGCCTATTCCATGTTAAGCAGTATGGCGACTCTCTTTTTTGAAGAAAACAAATAATAGGTTGGGGAAAAAGTTCTTTCGTATTTCATTGGTGTAAAGTTGTATTAAAATCTCTTTGGCTGCACAGTATGTATCTGGCTGTTTTTGATACTATTTTTTTTTTAATTTATTAAGGCTTTGGCAAAGCCATCAGCCTAAACATGCAGTTTAATTATGTTTCTGTAAATATGGCCGCCACAAAGAGTATAGGCAATTTGAGGCGGCGTGCTTGGATTGACTCGGGATTCCTTAAAACGGCCCGATACGGGTATTTTAATTCGAGATTCGTATAATTTCGCGTTTTAATCTTCGATTAAGGCACAATAGCACTATCCTATTCCACTTTAAACTAGATTTCACAAAATAATTGAAAGTCAAAATAAAAACGACACTTTTCCCTCCAAAAGGTCCAGAGCGAATCCTTTTTGATACCATCAGAAGGATTACATTTTAAAAAATAAAATTAAAAAAATAAAACCCGATTCCCGCCATTTTTCTTTTGTTTTTCTGCCTGTCATGATGAGTGAATTTAAAGAAGAAATTCGATACATTCTGACATTGACTTACAAATAAATGGACGACGGGTCTAATACAAAAACCACGAAAAAATGTCCCAAGTCAACCTATTCGAAATTTAAATTGTAATGTTATCGCAGTATCGCGCTGTCAGTAGAACAAATGAAGACTAAAGTGGAGTGTCGCACTCTGTATACGATTTTAGCGCCTTACAAGTGCGGACACGTTTTAGCGCGGACCCGACGTCCATATAATTGTAAGTCAATGCATTCTGAAGTTTTATTTCATGAAAGGGAAAAATGCGACACAACCCGCGAAAAAAATTTGTGACGTTTATGGACTTAACGCAGTGTCAGTAAGAGTAGCACAAAATTGGTTCAAGCGCTTTCAGTCCGGGAACTTTGATGTCAAAGATGAAGCTCGTTCTGGCCGCCCTGTCACGGATAAAGTTGATGCCATTTTTGAAATAGTGGAGCAAGATCGACATATTAGTAGTTACAACCTTGCTGAAGAGCTAAATGTTGACCATAAAACGGTTTTAGCCCATTTGAAAAAGTCTGGGTATACAAAAAAGCTCGATGTTTGGGTACCGCACGAACTGACTGAAAGAAACCTAATAAATCGAATACACATTTGCGATTCTCTACTAAAGCGTAATGAAATAGAGCCGTTCCTAAAAAGATTGATCACTGGTGATGAAAAGTGGATTACCTATGACAAGAACGTGCGAAAAAGATCATGGTCAAAGGTTGGTCAAGCTCCACAGACCGTAGCAAAACCCGGATTAACTCGCAATAAGGTAATGCTTTGTGTCTGGTGGGATTGGAAGGGTATAGTTCATTATGAGCTTTTACCGCCAGGCAAAACTATCGATTCCAATCTCTACTGCCAACAGCTTATGAGACTCGAGCAAGAAATACAGAAAAAACGGCCGGAATTGATCAACAGAAAGGGTGTGGTTTTTCATCACGATAACGCCAAACCACACACATCTTTAGCCACTCAGCAAAAATGGAGAGAGCTTGGTTGGGAAGTGTTAATGCATCCGCCATATAGTCCTGACCTTGCACCCTCAGATTTCCACCTGTTTCGCTCTCTTCAGAATTCTTTGGGTAGTACTAAGTTAACATCACGAGAGGACTGTCAAAACTACTTGTCGCAGTTTTTTGACCAGAAACCCCAAAATTTCTACAGCAATGGGATAATGTCACTACCTACAAAATGGCGACAAGTTGTCGAACAAAATGGCACATATATATTATAACTAAATGTAAATAAATAATTTTAAAAAATGTATTGAATTTCTATATAAAATACGAAAAGACTTTTTCCCCAACCTAATATATTATTCGCGATTTTAGATGCGGAAAAAAAATAGTTTCATTTCCAATATGAAAACATACTTAACCTTTTGTCCTTTGATGTATTCTCATGCTATTGTCTTGCTGACAATTATTTCATACGATGTTCCTTGTATTAAACTGTAATTACAGCATTTACAATTTTTTACTGCACTATTGCCCATCGATCGTTATCTTTCAAGGCCATTTCCTCGAAGACATGTGTTCACTTCACATCTAAAATATTCAGTGAAGCCTGATGCCTTACATCGGAATTCAATTTTCGAGATTTGAAAGGGCAAGAAGAAGACCACAATCAGTGAATAGGAATTTTTAGCGCATCAGGACTAAAAAGTCGTATTAGCACAATCATAATATGATTAATTGACAATTCATATTATGAGTTTCTTAAAATTCATGTAACGCAATTCATCTGCGTTTAGGAACAATAGAGTTCCTTGTGAAAGAGCTCATCCAGGGAAGTTCTACCACCTTACCTATTTCTGCCGCCAAGCCGTATGAACATTACTGCGTTCCAATTTTGAAGAGTAAGGGTCCTGGTGAAATTACAGGCACATGGGACTTGTCAACTTATGTATCAGGGTGACGGGCGCAGTGACAGTGCTCCTCAGATCTTTCTGATTTAAAGCCCTGGTGGCACTGCAACTGTTATGGATAGACGTGTCGCTTGTCACCAGGCCCACAACATGTTCGTCACATAAAAAAAATAAACCTGGGTTTTCATTGAGAGATTGAGAACTCTATCTAGGTTTTCATTTAGACATTATTTTCCAATTATTTTTACTTTACTTTTCTCTTCACTGACGTAAATTGGCTTTGGCACAATTTTGTTTTTTAATGTCTTGTATTATGTACAATTAGACGTGTATGAATATTTATGTGTTAACAATGAGACTTTAAAGTATGTTACTAATTGTTATGCCATACTTATTGACATGTATTATACATGCATTACATGTGCTTGTTTTTGAGGACACAGACAAAAAAACAATAATGCTGACTGCTCATATTTGATCTCGGAAACAAGTTTAATTTTGTTAATTTTTTTTTTCTTTACCGACTGATAACTTGTTGCTGGCAAGTTACATTTTTGGACATTAGGTGACTGGTTTTTAATATATTAATTTCTTTTTATGATAGCTCCAACAATGAACTCAGTAGTTACTGGCGCCCCGAAATGTCAGAGTTTAATTAATTTTTTAAAATGCTGATAATTTTGTTGCTGCCTAGCTGTTAGATTTAAGACATATTGATTGATAATGAATTTCTTCCTTTGATAGCATGCACACTGAGCCCAATTGTCACTGGCGACCCGAAATGTCAGGGTTCAAATGTGAGAAATAAGTTTAATTTTGTTGATTTTTTATTAAGGAGCTGATAATTTATTGCTGCCTAATTAGATTTGGGTCCTTTGGTTAACCTAATGTCAGGGTTCAAAAGATTTTGTTTTTGCTATTACAAATGCAGCATATTCATTGAATTTCGAACGCTTCCATTGACGATGAGTTTGAAAGACTATTCAAATTCAAGTATTTTATTTCAAATAATTCATCCATATTGATTAATGAAACATAAAGACTTGTAATGTTAGATATTTAACGATATAGATAAATAACAAGTTCATAAGCAATTTGTAAATAAATAATCATTTAATAATCTAAAATAGCATATTTTGTAGTAATGCAATTATAGATGTCACAGAATAATCGCTGTTATACATCAATAATTTCACAATGAGGTCAGTAGTTTGTACTTCGATGCCGTAAAACCTTTTCGGGAAATCCGGAATTCGAAAAAGTAATTTATTAATATTTGGTGGTTTTAACAACTTTATGTTGCTCCTTGTAGTCCATACATGTATCTATGTATGTGGAAAACCTTTTGCCGACCATTGCTCATATAGCAATTATAACATGTGTTTATGTCTGTGCGCAGTCGTGTGGCGTCTGCGGGATGTTCCCCTCGTGTATGTCGATGCTGTCGCGACGACACGATGCGCCGGCGCCCAAACCTGGCCAGACACCCGTCATCCTCAATGTCTACGACATGTACTGGACCAACTGGTGAGTCTCATTTTATTTTTCTAAGTCTTGTCCATTGCTTTGTGCGACACAAGGTTTAGGCCCTTGAACTTGAGCTGTCCCACGCCACTCTCAACGTTCACGACTAATACTGGATCTGCTGGTAAGATTTATCTATCAATTTTGTTTACATTGGCTACCGTATTAAACCAACTGCAGTGACCGTAGCATGGCAGTATATCACATGCAAAGTGTGATAAACCTCCCCGTGACATATTTATTTTAGTTGATAAAGCTGTGGTTGCATTACTATTTTTTTATTGCGAATACTGGATCGGTAAGGCTCCGCGTCATTCGTTGTTTTGTTTAGTTGGCAATGAACTATTGTTATACATTTTGAAGAACAAGGATAACGATATGAAATTCGTACATATCTTTGTCGTTTAATCATTGCCACGAAAACGACGAAACAAAAAATTTTGGGTTTTTGTAGTTTCATTTTTTACATATTTTACATTATACTAGTTATTAGTTACGTATTTCTAATTACTCTCATGTATTAAACTGTATTAAAAATATTCTTCTCATTATTTATATACATATATATCCAATTGTTGGTTTTATTGTTTCTTTTTATCTCGTTTGTCGCGTTCAATTTTTGCGTTCACAAAATTTCTGTGCAGATATGTCAGAATGTTTTAAACTCAGATGTGACCTTGGGGCCTTGTTTGGCACTGCGATATTCTGCGATATGCGATATTCTTTGCAGCCATTTGTCGAGGCGCTCACAATGCGATAAAAATATGATGCTCGTGGCACGGTGCTCGTATTGTTAGCTATTTTGATAAAATTTTTAAATGGCGGTTTTTATCTCTCGAATTTGACAGCTAAATGTGGATATACGAGTAATAGCTTTATCGCGGCGGAATGTTACGGGGGCTGTTATGAATTTCATAATGTATAACATGCCATAGTGGAGTTAATTATCGCACACTTGGAAGTATTGAAAATATATTACCAAATAATCGTCTTATTGATAGTCATGAAAATATACCACTAATAATCAATAATTTTTCAACTAAGGCCATCAGCATAATTAACTTTATGTCAATTGTTTAAATTACAAACTAAATACGAGCCAAAATACCGGTCGCGCGTCTTCCGGAGGATTCTAGCAGTCTATTATGCTATGTACAATTTCACTTTCGTTCCATACCTAACTGCTCGAATGACTGCACCTATATACTATTAAACTATTCAAATACTTTTGGTACTTAATGTTATCGGGACTAGGCTGGTCACATCTGCCGCTTGCCGAATGAGTTATGGGTCAAGACGATCGAACGAGAGAGAGAGAGAGAGAACGAGTGGAAAACCTCGTCAACAACAGCGGGATGATTTGAACCAGGGCTGACTTGACCTTGATTTCGTCTATTTAATAATTTCAGCACAGAGTACTAAAAAAACTGACCTCAAAAGTCATTCATCCCCTAGTTTGCCACCCCTGGAGCCGCAACATTTTCTTCAAATTTAAATGAGACCACTACTGAGGTACCCTCTTTCCAGTAAAAAGAGAATCGTCAAAATCCGTTCACAAATGTGACCGTGACGTACATACAAAAAAAACGTCAAAAATATACATCCTTACTGAATCTGTCTACAAGAAAAAGCTTTCTACACACATCAAAAGTGTCTAGGGATCAAGTACGTTTAAGAGTATTGCTGCAATTAAGGTTAATTATATTAACTTTTTTGTATCGCTATTGATACTTTTTAGTGAGTTTTAACATTTAAATAAGGAATATTGTTTAAAATTCGATAATAAGAAGAAAATCGATTGTCAATGTGGTTTTGTATAAAAATGAGTTATAGCGTTTTGACAAAATCATTACAATATCTGCATCGGAACCGAAACAATTTACATTATTATGGAGAGACGACATCATTTAACCCGAGAAGTGATGATGCGAGCCGTCGGAATGTTGGAAGCTGGTTCCAGGCAACGTGCTGTGGCTTTCACTCTTAACACTACACAGAGCGTCATAAGTCGCCTCTTGACGCGCTATCGCATGACGGGCAGCGTGGCCGAGCGACATGGAGGACGATCTCGCATCACGACTCGCAGACAGGACCGGTATATCCAAAATACTGCTCGACGGAATCGTACCATGACCGCCATGATGTTGGTTACGAGGCTCCACAGCTCCTCAGGCTTGCTAATAAGCGATCAAACAATCCGAAATCGTTTACGTGAAGTGGGTCTGCGATCCCGAAGGCCGCTCAGAGTTCCACCTATTGCACCCTGCAATCAATCGCAGGACCCGTTTACGATGGGCTCGCGAACACAGAAACTGTGAGGAAGAAGACTGGCGCTATGTGTGCTTTTCGGATGAATCCCGCTTCGGTATGAGACCGGATACAAGACGTACTCGAGTTTGGAGAACATCTGGACGTCATGAACGTTTGAGATATTGTCAGGAAGTTCATCCACATGGTGGGGGAACAATAATGATATGGGCCGGTATTTGGATCGGCGGAAGAACCGATCTCATTTGGATCAAGGGTAACCTCAATGCTCAAGTTTACGCAGAGAGGATTGTTTCAGATGTTATCATCCCTTTGCGAGGCCAGTTGGGTGATTCATTTCAACTAGAGTCGCAACACGCATTCTTGCCGAAGCTCGTATCAACGTTCTGCCGTGGCCTGCTACATCGCCAGACCTCAATCCAATTGAGCACGCATGGGATATGCTTCAAAGAAGAGCTGTGCCGAGTATGCATACCGTACATACTCTACAACAATATTTTGACTTGTTACAAAACACATGAACTCATCTTAAGCATGCCAAATCGCTGTAATTGTGTGATTCGTGTTAATGGTGGAAATACAGATTATTAATTTTGTTATCTTTACAATAAAAATGAGCAAAATCATCATTTTCGCCATTTTTTTGTCATTTAATTGACGCCGTTAATTTGAGTTTTTTCCCACAATTTGCAAAAACATCAATTTTAGTTTATTTTAATTAAATATAGGGGTAAGCGGTTAAATAAAACATAAGCATTAAAGTAAGAAGTCGTCCTGGAAGACTTGGTAAATATTGCTTAAATAATTTTTATTTCAAAAATATTCACTTGATCCCTAGACACTTTTGATGTGTGTATTTTCTTTAGTATTATAATAAAATATCGTTTCAATGATTTTATGACATTTATTAATAAAAGAGTATCTGCGTAAAAAGAATTAATCTGCCTACGATTAAATAGTAGAATTTTATCAAAGTTATAATTTAAAAACAACAGCTAAGCTTCTTGTTCGGCTTACAGTCGGTTTCTGGATGGTTTGTAAATTATTCCAGCATGTCTTTTAGATCATGTCACGACCCAACATCCGCAATGAATCAGCATTAATCCATGCGGATGAATATATTTCTTATTTAAGCAGTTATAATTATTAATACAAACATCAAACACTTACAAAAAATTCCTTCGATCCGGCTGGATTCGAACCGACGTCTTCTAGCAAACCGTCCCAAACGCTATGCCAACTATGCCACGGAAAAAGCAGACCTCACGAATTTTTCCATGTGCTTGTTGTCGGGGCCTTGTATTTGGTTTTCAACGACTTTTTAGCCGTAGCGCCATCTATGAAAGTATTTCGTCACCACACGTCACAGTTAAGTAACTTTACAGCTATCAACCCTGTTCAGAGAAGTCACTATTCTCTGTCGATTTTTGTATTAATAATTATAACAAACGAGTGGAGTAATTTCACAAAAAATTATTGAATATCAATTCAATACAAATTTAATTATAATAATAATGTTATTGATATTTGTTTTGAAGAATTACGATTTAGACACTTTAAATTAACTTGATAACTTCATGCACTCTCACACGAGTCATCGAGGCGGATCTCGTGTCATATCTGTCCCTAAATAAAACTTTATCGACACGATAATGTCATACTAAAATTACACACATTATTGGGAAGCGAAATGACGAAATATTGTAGGTGATGTTTTTAGTCTATATGCCACGTAATTATCTCAGTTAATGTCTCTGAAGCTTGTTGTTGAAAATAAAGTGAAGTTTCGCCAAGATGCGGAATTATTGTTTTTTTTTAACAAAAGACAATGGTTGCAACAACAAGCACAATAGTTGCTACAACAAGCACAATGGTTTCAACAACAAGCACAATGGTTGCAGCAACAATTAAAAATGAAGAAAAACATAGATTTCTCACGGGTGGCGCTACGTCAAAAAAGTCGTTAAAAACAGCGAAACCGATGCCTAACTGTCTTTTACTAAACGATTTTATTTTTTATTTCCCGCTAAATAAAACTTCCTAAAATATTTGCAAAAGAAAGAAAATAACATGAGCCCTCAAATTATATTTTTGTAATGTCATTAAAAAAAAAATTCAATGTGAATAATAACCGCCGAAGTATTTTAATAACCGGCAATCTATCTCACCACCGCTCTACATGGCTTTCAACCCTGACGTTGGCGAAATCGTCGCGCAAAACGACGGAGCCATAGATACCAAAGTTGAAGTTGAAGTTGAAACAAAGATCTGCAACAAGCAGTCTGCTGGTTAGTTCCGTAGCTCAGTTGGGAGAGCGTCAGGCACGTATGCTGAAGACGCTGGATCGAATCCAGCCGGATGATTCGAAGGAACTTTTCGTAGCGTTCGATCTTTGTATTAATAATTATAACAAACTAGTAGTGTAATTTCACAAAAAAAAAAATTAATATCGTAGTAAAACATCGCAATATTCAATAAAAATTAATAATTCAAAATTAATTTATTCAGTTATGATTGATTCTATCAAGAATCATGGTAGGCTATTAAACCTATTAAGATTTTTTTTTTTTTCATTTTATTCAGTTCAGCTAGCCCTAGCATGTTGCAAGAGTCTTTAGAAGAATCTTTATAAATCTCCGACTCAACATAAGTTTTTTTATCACTGCGGTCTTTTTAAAGACAACAACTTATTACACATAGTTACTGCCTTATCTGTGATAGCGTAGCGGTTCCGG